AAATGACAACAAGAAGTCACTCGTATATGTTTGAAAATGAGAGTTATATTAATCCGACATCTCAGCTAAATACAAAAATACCTTATATTTATTCATTTTATCATATTTGCAATTATACGTAATCGAGAAATGAAAATTTTAAATAGAATCATTTATTCCTGTAAATGCAGTGACTTGATTAGAAAGATATTTTTTAATATTCATTAAATAAATAAATAAATAATTAGAAGATTAAATGCACACACATTAATATGTATTATACATATGTAGGAGATTACAAGCACATTACAACAAACTACTATTCGTTAAAATGTTGGCAATTCTCCTTTATTATTTTTTCTTGTGGATATTGTAACCATCAAAACTATAGAAAACGTTGAGATGTTCTGTATTATATCCACTAACTTAATCTACCAAGCAAATAACTTGGCAATTAACAAAAAATCGAACGAACGAACGTACTATTTGTTTTTATTCAATAAACAAGGAAACTTTGAAATGAGACTAGTTTAATAATTTAATTTTATATAATAATAATAATGATTATGATGATGATAACAATAATAATAAATAAAAGTATTAGTAGTAATAGTAATAATAGTAGTGATAGTAGTAGTAGTAATAAATAATTAAAAGATTTTTAAAATGAATTAATCAACATCAATTCTACTTGTCAATTAACAAACCCTCGTTCTATTTACCCAATAATAAAAAGAAAAAGAGAAGAAAAGCCAAAAAGAAAAACTTGCCCGATCATATTGAAGAAACCGATATAAATATTAATCATAATCATAATGAAATCGACAATGATAATGACATGATGGTTAATGGTTCGCATAATCAATTAATAAAATCTCGACCTATAAATTGTACAAGTGATTATGAAGGTGAAGAAAATGTCGAAGACGACGAAGAATTCTTCTCGGAAGATGATGGTTATGATCCTGAAGCTCCTGAAATGTTGCCTTATCCACGTAAAGATTCAATTACTACTAGTAGTAACGATGCAGAAAATAATCATACTAATAATAATCATCTTCAAATTAACTTCCTGAAGCCTCAAGATTCAAAAAATCGTCTCTTCGAGCCTACTCCCGCAATAATTTCTAAATTCGCTCTACTAGGAATTGATTTTTATATAAGATTGCCCATTAAAAAACGTCTAATTAATGATATTTAGATTAGTATACTTGTGGGAAAATCATCCGAGATCGTCCATAGATCCCATTCATAACTATCCATATCAGGTGAATATAAAAGGGGGAACTTATTTATTACTTGTTTTCTCAACATGCCAAAAGGAATCTATTCGTACATTTTTGTCATTTCCCGCAGTGATTATCAATGTCTTGGCGAGTTCTGTAGAAGATATAAAATTGGGATGTTGCTTTTAAACAAAAATAAGTAATGGAATTAGAAAACACTCCTATTATGAGGGAAACAGGAGATAAGAAAGTATACCTTTTTATTGACAATTCCAACCTTTTTATCGAAGGGAAATATTCTGTTGGACATCATGAAAGTTAGGCACTATCGATAAAAAAAGAGGAACTCATTACTATGATCTAATTCGCATCGAACATGGACAGCTTCTCAAAATAGTTCAAAATGGGCGTCCGCTGGGTGCCGAACCCTTTCTAGTCGGTTCAAAACCCCCTAGTGAAGATTCGATGTGGAAATATATTCGGGGATTAGGATTTGATGTCACTGTATACAAGCGAAACTCTCAAGACCGTGAG